CAAGTTTATTTTAGTATTTATAAAATACTTTTATAAATACTAAAATAAACTTGCTACTTGTACTAATATCTCTACATCACGTTTTTTCATTTATCGCGGGGCTTCAGGGTATGGATACCCGTGATAAACGAGGGACTACTGTATAATAAAAATAAAATGCGTACATATTTTTAGTGATTTTTTTTTTTCAACGTAAACACAACGTAGAAACGTAAACAATTTTTTGAAGAAAGGACTAAATTGAATAATTCTGGTGGAGTAGGTGTTCTAAATTGTAATCCAAAACATTAAAAGCTTCATAAACATTAACCTTTCATTAATTATTATTTTTATTTAATGTATTTGACTTTATTGGATTTTATTTTATTTTTTTATTTTTTTGCCAAAGGGTTGTATTAAACAGTCCTGTTCATTTTGAGTTGTTCTTTTAATCCGTTTTGCTGTTAAACCTAAAAATTGTATAAAAAAAAAAAGTTATCACCATTAAATTTGCGAAAGGTCTGCATCAATCTCTGAAGCCTACGGGACAAAATTAGACCATTCTTAAACTGCTAATGTGGGCCGCACAAAATCTCTCCACGGCCACAAATGGCCCCTGGGCTGCACTTTGGACACCTCTGCTGTAAGTAAACAAACATGCTGTAGTTCTCAGCCATTCACAAATTTTCGCCTACAAATCACAAATTTAAAAACACCACTCATTGATCTGAATAAAAAGGGTACTTGCTTTTAATTTACTAGAGGGCATTTTAGATTACAGTAGTTCCCAACCCTGGTCCTTGAGGAACACCATCCTGAAAGTTTTAGTTGTTTCTCAATGATCAGGATTGGGGGGCATTTTAGATGACAGTGGTTCCCAACCCTGGTCCTTGAGGAACACCATCCTGCATGTTTTAGTTGTTTCTCGGCTCCAACACACCAGATTCAGTGATTTAATTACATCTGTAAGTTCAGCAGAAGCCTGTTAATCACCTTTCCTTCAAATCAGGTGTGTTGGAGCAGAGGAACAACTAAAACATGTAGGATGGTGTTCCTCAGGGACCAGGGTTGGGAACCACTGTTTTGGAAAATTGTTATTGGATAAATTTTTTTAAAAGAATTCTCATTCTCGTGGTTTTTAGAGCTGGACGTAGGCAGCTGCAGCCTGGAAAGTTACCTGTGAGAGAAGAGACCGCAACTAAACTGAGACGGGTTCGAGACAACTGTGACAACCGATTATTATAAAAAAAAAATAAAACTGGCACAAATTTGTTGCGCTTGTTAGAAATTTTATTGGCATTACTGCGAGCCTCTGCCACAAGCTAGCGTCTGCTGCCCGCCCAGATGCTACCTTTTAGCTTTTGTCCTAAACTAATAACGGAAACATTAAAATATTTACAACAAAACATCAGATAATACATTGGTTTCCAACACTGGTCCTTGTGGAACACCATCCTGCATGTTTTAGTTGTTTTCCTGTTTTGACACACCTGATTTGAATGAATGGGTGATTAACAGGCCTTTACAGAACTTGAAGTAATTAAATCACTGAATCAGGTGTGTTGGAACAGGGAAACGACTAAAACATGCAGGATGGTGTTCCGCAAGGGCCAGTGTTGGGAAGCATTGCGGTCATAAGACATAAAATACAATGCAAGTTACAAAAAAAATCACAATTTAAGACACTTAAAACAAACTTTGAAGAAAAGAGTGCAGAAAGTATTTTCTTTGTAAGAAAGCCATTTTATTTAACTCTGTAACCTTAAAGCTACAATGTTCACTACAAATTCCCCGGACAGCGCTACAATCCACCGCGTTTGCAATGTTAAATATTTCACTGAAGTACTGTTTTATTGTATGTGAA